AAAATCTTAAAAAAAAAAATAGATTTTATTTATTTATTTTAGAGAGAGATAAGAGTGTGAGAGCAGAGGAGGGGCAGAGGGAGAGGGAGAAAGAATCTGAAGCAGACTCCACACTGAGCGCAGGGCCCCATGCAGGGCTGGATCCCACAACCCTGAGATCATGACCTGAGCTGAAACCAAGAGTCAGACGTTCAACCAACTGCGCCACCCAGGCACTCCAATACTTAATCTTTATGTGAAAAAAACAGGACACAAAATAAATAATACATTATGTTGAATGCTAAGTTTGGAAAATAAATGAGTATGTGTGTATGCACAAAAAATCTGTAAAGAAATATATTATCTGTATAGTCTGCATATTTTCCACCTTAAGCATTCATTTATGTAATTATAAAAGCTAATTTTTAAAAAGCCTACACATTTTGAAATAATGAGTTATTTCTCCTAATCAAACTTTTGTCATTTATGTCAAAATTCAGATAATTAAACATTGAGATACTGGTAAAATATATACTATTTTCTTTGCATTAAAAAAAATTTTTTTTAAGACTGTATTTATTTTATTTTAGAGAGAGAGAGAAAGAGAGAGAGAGGGCATGTGAGTGTGGAGAGGGGTAGAGGGAGAGGGAAAGGAACAAGCAGACTCCACAATGAGGGTGGAGCCCAAAGAGGGCTTGATCTCATGACCCTAAGATCATGACCTGAGCCGAATCTAAGAGTCAGATACTTAACTGCTTAACTGACTGAGCCACACAGGTGCCCCTTTCTTTGCATTTTTAATAAAATTTTACACAATCACAAAAATTTTATACCTGCAGGACAGATTGTGATTATCTTCCTTATATCCCTCTTATTAAAATCAAAAACTTAATTTGACTAAACTGATCAGCTATTTTACTATTATATGCTCATACAGACAGGTATATAAGAGAATAACCTATAAGTTGGTTCTGCGATTTTAGCCTACTTCCAAGGTTCTTGAGTCAGAGACAAAGGACTTTTATTCATGGCACAGGAAACAGCATAAGCATCCACAAATATGCACTGGTTTCCCTTGACCCCCAAGTCCAGTGGAAAGATACAGAAGGTCCAGATGGATGCCTGCACATGCAATGTGCTGAGCTGCAGAAAAGAACACTGAACTTGGAGAGCCACTATTCTTATAACAATCAGCAAGCAAACCTGCTCTTTGTCCTGGAGGGAGATACTACCTTGTCAGTCAAGGTTGCTTGCTGCAAACATAACACTGAGAAATGTCTTGGGTAATAGTGGTCAGGGCCTTGCATCCTTAGCATCCCAGTAGGGATGCTCAGGGTCCCAGAGCAGATCGCCTCCCTCAACAATATACATTTTAGTCCTACATGACTGAACTTAATTTTTATTGAGTATCTTATCTTTGTGCCAAAATGGTCAGGTTTGGTATTTGATTTTATCCTACTTACAACCTAATAAACTTAGTTTATTACTGTTTCATTGATGCTGGCTCTTGAGTCAGAGACTAAGGCCTGGAATTTTTGACATACCCAGCAAAAATGTGCATGGACACTCAGGGCCCATGACGGATTGCCTCTCTTAACAATAACCTAAAATATTAACTACTTAGGAGCGCCTGGTTGGCTCAGTCGGAGGAGCATGTGACTCTTGGTCTTGGGGTCCTGAGTTCAAGCCCCACGTTGGGGGTAGAGACTAAATAAATAAAACTTTTTAAAAAATTAAAAATAAAATAAAATAATAAAATATTAGCTACTTAAATACACTAGTCATACCTACCCAAGAAGTACTCTGTCCACAGCTACATTAGTGGAAGAAGAAATGAGAAGTTTCCATGGTCTTGCATTTCCAACTGTAGGAACTTCACTCTTTTCAAATAGCTGTACAAAAAACAAAATCACCACTGCCAGCAAATAACTCTTTCCTGATCCAAAAACACCTAATTATTTTGAAGGAAGGGGAAAAAATAAAGGCAGTGTCATAAATAAATTTCTGAAAGCACAAGAAACATTTCATCCATCTGCCTTCCTCTCTCCTCTGTTTAAATTAATTTATTCAAAAAACATTCACTGAATGGCCACTATGTGCTAAGCACAGGGGATAAGGAGATAACCAAAGATCTCCACATTTAATGAGACCCTGGTCTAGTTGGGAAAACAGATAAAGTAAAGGAACAATGATAAAATGATATGGTAAGTAACACTGTTATGGTATTAAACATTCCTTTCTGCTTTGGTGGAGATGGGAATGTTTCCTAAAAATAAGAAGTAGCAGAACGAAGTCTTTCAGCATAAGATATCCAGACGACTTAAAGAAAGGGTCATTCTAGGCAAAGGCATGACAAAGTATGTAGATGTTACCTATTTCTATACAGCCTATAGCAAATAGGCAAGAGACGAGGCTGACAAGATAGGCAAGAGGATAAATCATAAGAGTTCTGCATGGTATGGCTAAAAAGTTTAAATTTTGTCTTGTAGGCCAGGGACAGTCCCTAAAGGATTTTAAGCAACAGAACTGACTTAGGCAGATTGTATTTTGTAAAAACTACTTGAGTGAAAATATTAAGAAAGGTAAAACTACAGGTAGATCAATTAGAAAGTGGTGTGACAGTAATTGTTACAATATTGTTACAATACTCTAATACATGCTAACTTTCCTGAGTGCCTCCCATGTGACAGGCACTGTTCTAAGACCTTTACCAACCAGTTAACTCATTTAATCTTCCAATCCTAAGAGACAGATGCTATTATCAACTCCACGTTACAAGGCAGGAAATTAAAAAGATAAGTAACCTGCCCAAGATCATATAGCTAATAAATAAAAGAGCCAGGATATAAACCCAGGATTCTAGCTTGAGAGCCCACCCTCTCACCAGTAGGCTATATGAAGGTATGGTGAAGGCTGGGATTGAGGGGATGCTAGTGATCTGGAGAGAAGAAAACCGATATGAAAGAAAGGTAGACACTAGAAGGGAAACATCTCAGTGACTGATCTGATGAGGGAAGATAAAAAGAGAGTAGGAGGAGGATTAAGAGAGTCACTTCATCTAGGGAGAAAGAGTAATCAAGGATGACTCCCAGACATCTAGCTTGGTCAACAGGGTGGATGTGATGTAAATCCTCAAAGTAGCACAAAACAGCTCTGGAGTGGAGGTCTGTGAGAGGAAATGAGCTAAAGGGGTGACAGAATCCAAATAGAATAATTAGCTCTAAGAGGGGAAAGTAAAGCGCCCTTACTGGGACAGAACCAAACGGGGTTAAAAAATAGATTCAAACTTAGGTAAATTGGAGAAGGATGGCAGGATATTGAGAGGAGTTTCTGTTATAAGCTCCATTTCCTGTTTTAGAGGCAAGATCAGTTTCAGAGAGAGTGGGGCAGGGGCCAGGAGGGGTTATGAGAATGAAGGTTTGGAATAGCTGCTGGGGGAGGATGAAAGAGTAAACTAACTAGGAATTAATAAAAGGCTTTGCTGCTCAGAGTTGAAGTTCACTCTGATAGTGCAACACATGGATACCTAGATCACATCTGGATGCTGTGAATAATGAGTGCATGATGCTACTCATTCATCAGATACGCTGCCTATTCTCCCTTTCAGGGTGGTCAGTTCTGCTCTCATCTAATAGTTTACTAAAGTAGGTTCAGATTCAAAATAATCTATGCAGAGTTTTTCTGGAATCTTGTCTGACTAGGAAATTACAAGCAGGCTAAGTTACAAAAGCTTATATAACAGGATATTTACTAGAACTATTATCTTTCTTACTTCTTACCATGTATGATCGTGATAGGGAGGGTATGGATTTGCAGTTCCTTCACTTCTTCAACATTTCCATGGGATGCCATCATTTGAGCTATCTGAATTAAAGCTGTAGCTTGATCCTTATTTAACTTGTGTGCCTGAATTAATTCACTAGCTAACCGCAATGTTGCTTCTAGGCTGAGAAGTTCAAATTTTGTGTTGATATTTGAGAAGGCTGGTGGGATAAATCTTCTCTTATTGACTCTCTTGTTGCTAACTATAGTTGATGAAGACCTAGTATAAAGGCAGCAAAAAAAAAAAAAAAAAAATCAAAGAAAAATGAGCGGTTTTTGAAATAGGTAAATAAACCTATTCATAGCTTAACCTTCACTTCATACGCATCCCAGAGAACATTTTTTTAAAGGCATAAATGCATATATGCCCCAATCTGAAGGAGGGGGTAAGAGAAGAGAACTAACATTTGTTGACCATCAACTATGTGCAAGTACTATGCTGAGCATTTTACATACTATTTGTTGTAATCTTAAAAACAACATTAGGAAGTAATTACCCCAAATAAAGATACAGAAATATTAAATTTTTTCCCAAAAAGCACACAGATAATAAGTGGTGCATGACTTAAAGCCCATGTTCCACTATATAAAGCTGACAGATAATTAATATGGCCTCTATTTCAGGTAATACTGCAATAAATAAATTGGCTTTATTTCTATTTCTATAAAGAAATTCTACATAGAATGAATTCATTTCAAAGATTAAATAACAAAGATAGATAATAATATAATGGAATCAGAAGGATTTTAATTTTTTACCTAGAACTTCCATAAAATTCCAAATTAGAAACTATACTTTTTCTACCATTTTAGTGAATTTAATAGAATATCACTTCCAATATTTTAAAAAGGAGTATGGTACTTGAAAAATTAAAAGTAAGTTATAGGTTATGTCAAGAATAAAGTTAGCATCAATATACATTACTGAATTCAACCTGTAAAAGGATTCTTTTAGATATTAAATCATTTGAGGCATAAAAATACAAATGAATAAAAAAATTAACACTCAAAAAAGTCCTTAAAATATTATTCCTTGACAAATGGAAAAAATTTGCAGTAACATCCTTTTATTTTTAACTAGTGACAAACAGTAATCTCATGGTCTCTGAAAGATAATAAGAATATTGTTGGCAAAAATTTATGTAATGTACTTTGATTTCATTTTCAAATTCACATTTAGTCACATTTTGGAATACCAATGACCCAAGGGTAAAATAATGACTTACATTGTTAACAAGTACTGTGTTAGAGGTAGAGTAGCTGGATTAAAGTTGTCCTGAATGTTTTTCAAAGTGGTCAGCTCTGTGCTAGCATTACAAACCAACAATGCATGGACCACTACTGTAGAGAGAATGCAGAAAATGAACATTTAATATAAAAAAATGGATCATAAAAAAACTATTAAAACTGTTCAGTCGGGTGTCTCAGTTGGTTAAACATCTGACTTGATTTCAGCTCCAGTTGTGATCTCAGGGTTATGGGATCGAGCCCTGTGTTGGGCTCTGTGCTGAGCATGGAACTTGCTTAGGATTCTCTCTCCCTCTGCCTTCCGCCCCTCCCCAAATGTTCATATAACTCAGAGCTTGGCTACTGAATTAATCACATGACATAAAATAAACTCTTAAGTATATATGGAGGTCCTTTTATCCATTAAACTACAATACTACTCGCTTATTCATACTTTTCATAATGGGTATCCATAAATTGCATAACTTAAATAAAATTTAGACTTCTATACGTCAGCTAATGAGCAAGAACAACTGTTCTGAGTTAGTGCATGGTGACACTGCTTGACAGTTCCAACTAATAAGCATACCATCTTGTGCTGTACAGTAGTTATTTGTGTAATTTCTGAACATTTTATTTGTTCAACTATTTTATAGGAAAATATGGAAAGCATAAAGTTAGAATGCTGATATGGGGGAAAGAACTGCAACAAATATGAAAATATGCATATGAAAGTGACATATTAAGTAACAAATGTTTAGGTAATTAGGCTTTTACTGGACTCAAGCTAGTTGACTAGCTTTTTCAGTTCCTGAAGAAAAAAATCAAAAGTTAAGAATGTATATGAAATACTTGAAATGGGGACGCCTGTGTGGCTCAGTCGATTAAGCATCTGCCCTCGGCATAGGTCATGATCCCAGGGTCCTGGGATCAAGCGCCGCATCGGGCTCCTTGCTTAGCAGGGAGCCTGCTTCTCCCTCTGCCTGCTTCTCCCTCTGCTTGTGCTTGCTCTCTCTCACAAATAAATAAAGAAAATCTTAAAAAATAAAAATAAAAAAAAAAAACTTGAAGTGAATCATTAAATGTTGTGTCTCTAATTATAGACCAAATTCAACTATCAGGAATTATTCCAGAGATCAAGAGGCATAAAGAAATCTATAGATTCTTAGAACTGGATAGGGATTCAGGCTACTAAAACTTCCTTTATTAAAAAATAATAAGGATGGGGGTGCCTGGGTGGCTCAGTCATTAAGCGTCTGCCTTCAGCTCAGGTCATGATCCCAGGGTCCTGGGATCGAGCCCCGCATCGGGATCCCTGCTCCGTAGGAAGCCTGCTTCTCCCTC